CCTGACTGTATCCCACACCGTCTACTTGCTTTACTCGGTTGCGGCACGATCGCGGCACGGTCAGCTGTTTGAACGGTGAAGTCTGACTTTGATGGCAGCTCTTTCTTCTGAAGCACGTGCCTTCGCACGCTTGACGTCGATTGTTGCGGTGAAACTGCACGACAGCGCTGCGATTGTGAGCTTGCTCACAGGAACCTTGGGTGGATTGGAGAGCACATTAGAAGTGACCTGCGGCAATGATAAGCTTTACGCGTGGGCTCTGTTCGAGCTCACTTGATGGCGACTGCAATACGCCTGATGCCATCTTGACGGCAAGCTTCAGTTACTTCGGCAAGCAGGAGCACATTTGGCGGCTCGCTTACATTTTTCTCTTCCTCGTTGCGATCTTCGGGGATCCAGTCGCGATCTGGACTGTTCTTTGCCCACCTGGCAAAGAAGGTGGCCTTGCTCTACCTCAAGTCGTAGATTGAATAATCCGCACTGGCCGTTGCGGGCCTCTCATTTTGACCAGGTAGTGCATCTTCCGGACATGAAGTTTCTGCGCTGCGGCTCACCTTGTACACTGTTCCAACGAAATGAAGAAACTGGTGCACATAAGAACGCGGCGGAACCTTGTTGATCGCAGCGTGATCGCAGCGCGCGCGAGCGCGTGATCGCGCGTGATCGCAGCGCGCGCGAGCGCGCTACAGCAGCGCGTCTGTGGGCGCGCGCAACATGCCGCAAAACTGCAACCTCAGCAGTGATGCCCACCCTGCAAGATCGCCGCGGCCAGCCGTGGCCGCGGCCGCGGGCGCTCATCTTGGAGTTTGCATTTTTCTGCAACATGCGGGAGCATCTTTAAGCCGGCATAAACCGTTCGTTCGAGCACTCTTTTGGGCAGAGTGCCGATTGATCCAAATGTATGTTGTGCTCTCTTGCTTACGTCCGTGATTCACGTGTAAAATCTTTTCTCTGGTCTCGAAACAGGCGTCCTGCAAGTTTGGAACGCTGAGAAAGCTTGCAATATCAGAACTGCAGAAGTGCGTTGAGATGACGCAGCTGTAGATTGCCAAACGCGCTTTTCTGAGTTGCAGTTTGATTGTTGCGGTAGACTTGCAGTACGACAGGGCTTGAGAGATTCTGGTGGTGGAGTGAAGTGCATATCACGATCTGCGGCAATGAGAAATCATACCCGTGGGCTCTACTCAAGCTCAAATGTTGTCAGAACGAACCTCCTGATGCCATCTTGACGGGCAAGCTTCGGTTACTTCAACAAGTTTCTGGCACAGGCTGGCCGCGCGCTTCTCTTCTTCTTCTCTTCCTAACCGCGATTTCTGGCGGATCCATCGGAAGTTGCGCTCTTCTTTGGCCACCTGCACGAGGTCGGCTTGGCCTCGAGTCATAAGATGAAAACCAGCACTGGCCGTTGCAAGCCTTGCATCTGGGCTAGGGAATTGAGTCTTCCGGCTATGAAATTTATGCGCTGCGGCTAATCTTGCACACTTTTGCAAAGGAAATGAAGAGATCTCAAGCTGCACATACGAGCGGGGCGGAATCTCGTTGGGCGGAGCGCGCGCGAGCGCGCTTTACAGCGGCCCGTCTGTGGTCGCGCCCGAAAGGTCGCCGAGGAGAGTGAACCCTCACCCTGCAAGGCGGCCGCGGCCGCGGGCGCCCATTGCATGGTTCTGCAACAGCACCTTCAGGCTGATATACTCTTCCGTTTGTCCGATGTCACGGTTTGGTAGGGTGCCCAATGAAAGCCATTCTCCGTCGCTTGTTTGTTAAGTCAGGTCTAATTCAACCTATCTTAATATGCGCTGATCGGACGACGCGTCCTGCACATTCGAAACATTCAGAAAGCTCGCAATAAGACTTGCGTGGGGATTCGACATTCTCCCAAAAGGACTGGGGGCCGGGAAACGCCTATGAAGAGCCACGGGAAGTAACCGGAAGATCAGAACCGGCCAGAGTTTTTTTCATTGGTTCGTGTCTCTGATGGCCGGTGCTCATTTCAAGATCGAACATGCATCCAGACGGACCTCCGAAATCTTCCGAAAGGGCCCTTGTCTTGTACGACGGCGTTTATAATTTAGGAGCGCCGATGAAGACCCGTCTCTCTCCGCTTGAATCCAGACACTGTCTTTGACCCTTTGTCGAAGCCACGTTTTCAAACCCCGTAACAATTCCGTTGGTTTCAAGAAGACGTTGACCATCGACAGAAATGAGGTGAACTTGATGGGCTTTGTTTTGTCTAGTCGGATTTGTTTGCAGAGCATCTGACCCCTCGGTTCACTTTGTGGTGTGTTGATTCAAACTCTCTTCCTTTTTTAAAACTAGTTCCGCTGTGTAGAACCCTTAACGGGCATACAAGAGCTCTTTGGCGGTTCGCGCGTGCCAGTCAGATACAGCATCCAGGCGCTGCCGTTTGGCGTTTTTCAGATTGTAGTGCTGTGCCATAGGAGTTCTGAGCTTTGCGGACGTTGAAATTGTACTAGTTACCAAGCTTGCAAAAGCAAGATTTGGTTGTCACGTCAGATATTGGCAGCAATGATGATCTTTCCCTTTGAGCCTCGCTCAGAGGCCTGAGTGCGCCGATGCTGCCACTGCTCATAAAATGCCGCGGCCATTGACTTCGTTTCGCTCCAAAGCGGCGACCAAGCACATGAGAATCTACCATTCAAGGGAACAGATATTCAGTCTTTAGTTTGGATCTCGATTCGATCTCATGCGATGTGGATTCAGCGCGTGCCTGAGCTCCAATCCATTTGAGCTCACATCTCTAAGTGCAGTACCCGATGCCATCTCGAGAACGTCTTTCGTTCCCTTCATCGAGCAAAGTGGTTTAGTCATGCACAGCTCGCGTTCTGCTCTTTGGCATCGTAATGCGCCCCCCTTTGTGCTCTAGTGGTTTACCCCATTGACGTGGCACCCATCAATCCGTTCAAAAGGTCTGTCCCGTGAAAGGACAGGCTGGGAGGCGCCAAGCCTCTCCTTCAAATTCTGTCTGGAAGCGCCTTCCGTATGATCTGGTTTTTCTTGTAACGACGGCGCGCGCGCAGTGCTCATGCGATGCAAGCTTTTACTCATTCAAATATTTGCATCACAGAGCCCACAAAAGCTGAAGTTGTGCGTCGCGGTATGGTCGGGCGGCCACCGCGCTCGCCAGATTGCGCGCGCGGGGGCGCGAGGCAGTCGGCCAGGCGGCCCGCCACGCTCTGGAGGCGCGGGCGCATTCGGTTTTCAACCCCTAGACGGGATTCAACAAGGAATTAATTTGGACTCTTCGAAAATATCTCGTGATTAGTACGTCCTTGGTTTCCGGGACCCTCCTCATCTACGTGCGCTTGAGAACTCTTGCAACATGGCATTTAAGGAGTTGTGTCAGACTCGAACTCACGTTCGCTCTTTATATCTCCGAACCTAGTTGAGCTGACCAAAATACAAGTCGTGCGCTGCGAGATCGTATATGACCACCAGATGGCGCGTATCGCACTAATTTGCAAATCGAAGTTTTCTCATTTCGCTCAACGTAGATGGTATGTGATCCCTTAGTCTCTTTCTATCTCCCCCTTTTGCAACAGAAAATGCCCGAAGGAGGTCCTGGCACAGGAGCAGGACACCCATGATCGGCGCGGCCGCCCAACATACTTATACCCGTCAAATGTCGCTTATGGATCATTTGAGCGGACGAAGAGGGGAACGGCCGCGCGCTTATGCCGAGTAGGGGCTTGCGGATATTGACTTCTCCATCTGCCACCGTCGTGCCCAGGTGCATATTGTAGAGTCACGTGCCCGGCCCTTTAACTCTCTGTTTCTGATAGCTGTATATGCCGGTCAAAGGTCAACCAATTTCGTGGAGGAAAGTTTTTGTTACGTACTTTACTTTTCAGCAAGAAACAACAAGTCATGCTGGTAGGTGCTCAGTCAGTGATCCAGTATATACTCAGGTCTTTCGAATCGTTGTAACATCGACCTGTGAGACAAGGACAGTAGAAGAGCGATTTTTTCTTAAATGTGATTTTGCCGGTTGATCTACCTTCAGGGGACCTCCAGCGAACACGGAATGGTTTAAGCCATCGCTAGCGCTACTGTATCTTCATAGAATTGATAGAGCCTAGAATACCACAAAACATTCTCAATCCACAGAGGCGTCACAGTGAATCCACGTATTGGATGGTCCGTCAGAAAGAAGGCAAATAGCAATAACAACTTCTGGCACATCTTTACTTGGTCCAACTGATCCTGGTTTCAAGATGATGTTCTTTGCTCTCGCAACGAACTATTCCCTGACAGAACACCTGCACAATCTGCTGATTTTGAGCGGCAACATGATTAGCGTAGTCGTGCGGGTTGCAAACCGGCACTTTGACTCTTATTGTGATAACTGCTTATTAGGGAGGCTTCGGTTTGGTCTTGTAGGTTTTGGATCCGGGCAAAGTATTTTCCCGTCGTTAGGGTTCGTCACGTACACGCCTTCTAGCAATCAAATGGATTGTAAACGCAGGCCACTCGGATCCTCGTTTCCAAAATGATCTTCATGAGACATGAGGAGGCCCGTTTACGGATTCGACCTTTATTGTGCACGTTCGCACAGGAATCATGCATGGCTGCATATTGATTTGAGCAATTTCGTGTCGCTACAGGAACAACAACGTTCGATATGAGTAACAGTCTCATGCAGCTAGCCGGCACTCTTGACCCGAGCTCAATAAACAAAACGCAGGCGTGATGAAAGTTTGTGAGGCACTTACAGCTTCATGCATGCAGAATCTTACTGATGTGGCCCGACCTATAAATGAAGCTTTAACGTTCTACGAATGCTGTTACACAGTTACAGAAATGCCAACTCGACCTCCCCCAAGTTACCAAGTTGAAGTTCTTACAAATGTTGCGGACGTCACCCACTCATTTATTAACCATCTTTTTAACAAGTTCAAGTGCACTCTCTGTGAATGTGTGCAATTAACTTCCTGCGAGTGCAAACGCTGTGCATACTTCTGAATGGCCGCTTAGTCCACCTCTTACGGCGCCGGCTTGAGGGACGCCTTGATGGGCCGTTTCTTCGCTTCCAGCACGGCCTTAGCCGCCTCTTTCTCCACTTTCGCAACCTTCTCTTTCACATTCTGCAACGTCGCAAACAGCTTTTTGGCATTGTTACTTTCGTAGGTACTTCTCGTGTTGTAGTAGTAAAGGCCGCCTCCCATGCTGGGTTGAGTCCAGAAGTGACTCTTTACTCCAGTAGCCTCTAAGTCCTTAAGGATTTGCTGCACCTTCGCGCGGAACCGCGCCGCTTCCGGGGACGTCCAATCCGGGCCCCGGGTCACCGATAACCGTTCGATCTCGCTCATCAATGGACGCCACAGCTCCTCTGACCCTCGCCTTACCCTTAGCTTTGCGGCGTCCCCTTTCTCGCCAGCAAAGTTTTTGAGAAGAAAATTGAGGAGCTGGCTCTTCTTGTTTTTCTCCCAACCGCGAGTTGGCGCCGGAGTTTCCCACAAGTCCGTATCCGGCAACCGGAGCAGCTCCGCAGCAAAAGTCTTTGGAAAGTCTGCACCATATTCCGCCCAGCAGAGTCTCAACCGGGCGGCATGCTTCTCTAGCATGACGCTCTGTCTCAAGTAGTCCGTCTCGCTCAGCGACTCAGCCACCTCTCGAAAGACCCATGGGATCACCACCGAGGGAGGGGCAGAACTAGTCGCGCTCGCATCGCTTCTTGTGCCATCCTGGTTAACAATAGACTTTGCCGGCAAAGGCAGGGCCTCCTTTCCTTGTTCTTCAGGAGCTTCTGTGTTGCTGATGAGAGTTCCTTTGGGGCGCAGGACAGAGCTGTTCAACCCCATTGTCTCCGACTCTAGGTCCCAGTTGGTGTGGTAGAGATGCTGAATCTGCATGTGAAGCGAGTCGTGGCCGGAGGGGCGCCCGGCGGCCGCGTCGCGCTCTTAAACCTGTGACGGAGGGTTTTGGAGGCGCGCGCAGCGGCCGCGGTTTGCTAATGCATTATTTCTCAAAGTTTGCGGGGCGGCCGGCCGCGATTACGCGCAGGAGCGCCCCGAACCCTCCAAACCCGTTCACAACCAGACCTGCCATGTGACTGAATTAGTCGAAAGCCGACGCGCGTCGTTGAAGTGGTTCTGTGCTAGTGGGAAGGAACTACTGTAAGCGCCTCAACGAGAAGCGGCGACGGGTCTCAGCAATTCCGTCCTATCCAGGTCACGCCGGAGGGCTGACTCTAGTGGAGACGCACTGCAGGTGGGCGCCCACCTGCCAATTAACCAAGAAGGCGCTCCGGGAAATGCTACCGGATTGAAAGCTCAAAAGGGCGTCAATAAAGAAAACTATGAAGAGAGGCTCCGGACTGCTCCTCCCTCGGTGGTCATTCCGTGGGTTTTAGATGACGTAGCTGACTCGCTAACTGAGACGGACGCCTTAAGGAGGGGCGTCACGTGGGAGCAGCATGCAGCCCGGTTGCGGGTCTGCTGGCAAGAGTACGGGGCCGAGTTTCCAAAGGAGTTTGCTGAAGCGCTAACCCGGTTCTTGGAAACGGGTGACCAGATAGATCAGGTTGTGCTGTTTTTGCTGGACATCTTTGCTGGGGACGCGAATGAAGAGACCGTGGAACGGCACGTGACGAGAGGTTCAAAGGAGCTGTGGCCACTTGTGCTTGGAGAACTTGAAAAGAGCTGGGGGGAGGCAGACTGGACCTCCGTCCCCGCTGCTGAATCCCGTCAGAGACTGCGGCAGCTGGTTATAGATTTGAGGGGCGTGGCCGAGAAACGTTTGTATAGCATCTCGGATAAACTTCTGGATGACAACCCCTCTGCAAAAAGGAACGCTGAAAAGCTGCTGGATGCAATTCGGACGTTGTGGCTAGAGGTTGAGCGAGTAGATCGTGAGGCGAAGAAGGTCGCCATCGAGGCGACTCTCAAGCCGGCGCCTTGGGAAGTGGAGGGACCTGCGGGGTCAGATTCAGAAGCCAGAAAGGGATAGCAAAGGCGCTTGCGCAGCACTTTGCTATGGGATGGTTGTACTTGTGAGGTGTGCTCAATGAATTTATGTAGTGGACTAAATAGATTTACGCGCATGTGCAGCTTCGCCTTGGTAGGTTCAGTAGTGCCAAAAGAATACTATATGTGAAAGACCATTAAGCCACTTGATTCAAAGCGTGTTTCCAGACGCTTCGTTGAGTTTGCAAGCCGTTTTTGATACCACTCCCCATTTTTCTGAACGTCTGCTTTTGAGTGCTTATCAACTAGAGACAAAGAAGTCGTTCCCACCTTCAGAAATGTACACGGGCTAGGTCCGCATGCGCCAGTGTCTGAGATATGCAATCAAGCTTCAATTCGGTGACCTTCGATGGAGGAAGACGTCTCACGTCTTAGTGCACCATGCTATCTGAATGTCGATCCACGCCTTCGAAGGGGACAGTCTTGAATACCTGTAGACCTAAGACTTGCACCTTGGGTCTGAGAGATCCGATCTGTTCTCAAAACAGCTCCAACAGCCCCCGCTTCCGAACAGATTTTGGGCAGACCCCGCGCACTCAAAGATTCACACGTCTTCCATGTAAGCCCACATCAGTCTACAGGACCTTGCATGCGAGCTTAAGCCAGTCGCTAACAAGTACTGACAGTCCAAGTCGATCAGAAACCATGTTTCGACGTGCTTCCGCTTTCTGCTTGCGTGCTGACGCTTTTTTGTACGATCAATCTGCTATCTTCTGCAAGCTTAAATCCAGCCAGATATCTCTGAAGTGATAGACTCAAGCGCATCGGGGGAAAAATCGTGTTTGCCCACTTCTTCACCAAGCTCTGCTAAAATGTCCGAGCGTGTTTTAGGAAACGGCCGGACCTGATCATTGCAAACTTCATGGAAAAGGAAAGGCATGCTCAGACCTTTGAGAATTCTGAGATCTTCGCTGAGGAGTGCCGCTTATATTGCCAGCTTCGGATTAGTACATGATCTTATTCCAGACATTTCGTCTCGCTAACTTAGGGGAAAATTTTGAAAACACACAGATCACCGTACATTCATAGTATTCTTTTGAAATCGTGATGTGATTTCTGGTTCCAGTTCGATGCAGTCTTATTAGATTGATTTTCCATACATGCGTCATGGCGCGCCTGCCGAGCAAGGCTAAAAGCGGCAACCCTTTTGTGGAACGTACCAGATACTACCGATCTGACCGGACTCCGACAGTTTTTGACTCATTTCTGGTGAACTGGCAATGGCTCCGACGATATTCAGGATGTAATCATGATATAATCGTTGTTCTTCCAGCACTTTGCACTGGAACGAATTACAGTATGGCCACCAGAAAGCCAGAGTAATCGGTGGCGCCCATTTTCATTTTACATGCATCTCACGGGCCCCTCGTTGGATGAAGCGAACAGTGATCAGTCGCCAGATCGGAGCCGAAGTTTTACGTTTTAAATATCAATTGGGCGGCCGGGTCTGAAAACCTATAGTAAGACGCGCCAGTTTCGAACTTCTGGTACTGCAAGACACCCAGTTCGGAGATCCTTCAAGATCTAATCATGAAGGCATGGGGGGCGGCCATGCAGACGCCACCGCGCGCAGCGCGCGCGGCTGCATTTGATGTGCTACCACGCTCCTAAAAACAGAGTCACAGACGGAGTCACAGACGGTGTGGCAGACGTCACTAACTCATCCAGGTTTTGTTGCAAAAGTCTATCAGCGACCGTCGTGCACGTAACAAATCCATTGCAAGAGTGTGAAAGCAAACTTTGTGAAACAACTTTCAATAACAACGGTATGCAGAGTTTTGTCAAACAACCGTTCAATCCACCTCCCACGGCGCCGGCTTGAGGGACGCCTTGATGGGCTCTTTCTTCGCTTCCATCGCCACCTTGGCCGCGTCTCTTTCCACTCCCGCAATCTTCTCTCTCACCTCTTCCAGCGTGCCCATCAGTTTTATTGCATTCTTGGTCACGTGGCCCCTCTCATATTCGTAGTACGAGTGGCAATATCCGAGACTCCAAAGGTGACAGCTTTCCCCGGCAGCCTCCAATTTAACCATCAGTTGCAGCACTTTTGCGCGGAATTGCGCGGCCTTTGGGGACGTCCAATCCGGTCCTTTGTTCACCGATGCCCGTTTGATCTCTTCCAGAACTGGGCGCCAGAGTTCTGTTGAGCCCCGTTTGATTCTCAAATTTGCGGTATGTTCATCCTCGGCAGCGAAGGTGTTCAGAAAGAAGGTGAGGAGCACGCTCTTTTGGTTCTCTTCCGCGATATCATCCTCTGAATCCGGTCCCGTTTCTTCAGAGGGATCCCGGCCCGTCTCCCACACATCTGTGCCCGGCAACCGGAGTAGCTCCGCAGCAAACGTCTTCGGAAATTCTGCACCGTGTTTTTGCCAGCAAAGCCTCAAGCGGGAGGCGTGCTTCTCTAGCATGACGCTTCTTCTGAAGTAATCCATTTCGTTCAGAGACTCGGCCACCTCTTGAAAGACCCATGGAATCACCACTGAGGGACTCGGCGCAGGTTGATTCGCACTCGCACTGCTTCTCTTGCTACCCTGATTATCAGTGAACTTCTCCGACAAAGGCAGCAGAGCCTCCTTCCTGAGGTCTTCAGACGCTAAGGTGCTAGAATCATGATCAAGAGTGCCCTTTGAGGCAAGGATAGAGCAACTCAACCCCATCTCCTTGTTGAAAATATTTATTGTAGTTGAGACCAAGAGATGATCGGCGCACGTCCCAGCTGCTCGTGTTATTACTCTTTGTTGGTGAACAAACACAACTCTCGCTGACGCTGACCGCCGAAGGGGCGGCCGGCGTCGCGCTATTTCAGCCCGTGATGAAACGGAAGGGTTTGGGCGCAGACTCTAGACACCGGCCGCCGCGCCCGGATGCGGATATTGGGACGCACGAAGAGTTGCGGGCCGGCCGCGCATCCGCGCGCACTGGAGCGGCCCAAACCCTCCAGATGCACCGTCACGATTCAACAAAGAAATTCATTTGGTACTCGCGCGCTTCCGCAAGGCGACGCCAGGGTAGACTTGTCCTACTGTACTTGTTCACCAACTTCTTGGCACAGAACGAGTCGACGATCTACGGCGATATTGGTCTTGAACAGCTCCGTCCTGGCCATGTCATGCCTAAGGCGTGCAGAAAAAAGGAGACGACGCAGTACCGGTGGCCTCTTCCGCAGCCCACCTCGACAAATACAGCGCTCTTAATATACATGGTAGACCGCCCGGGAGGGCGGTGGGGGCTTGCCTATTCTGTGGGGCGACCGGGCGGATTTTACAAAGTACGTTTGCTGGCTATTGCGGATCAGTCCCGGTCTCCCCGGAATGTACCTAGGACGCCTACGAAAAAACCTATAGTCGAGGTGCGCCTACCGAACTATGTGCCGCAGGCGGCTTTCCTGCCGCCTGCGGTGTGCGGCAAATATCCAGGCGCCCACCGCAGCTCCTTGCAAATATTCGTAAACTCCCATTGGAGAAACAGAGCTATGCAGTGATTCTCTGTAAATTGTCGTGGATTTTTCCAGCGCAAGGGTCCGTACAGCCTCGTACGGTGCGTACTGTAAGCGCTGTGCAGTGCATATGATACCAGGTCACCAGGCTTCCCTCCTCCCGGGCACTTTGACGCATCTTTACCACACTTTGGGTGCAATACTGATGGAGTCCATTGCAGTTAAGGGTATCCTAATTTTCTTTTTCTGCACTTAACGACCGGGTTACGAGGCAGTGTCAGGCGCTTGGCAGAGGTACCAACTTCAACGTGGCAACGTCGCACAAGTTCGTAGAACTCGTAATGTCACGTGGCAGCTCTACAAAAACTGGGTCAGCCTTACATGATTACGTTATTTTGCGGCGGCCCAATCGCGTCCGCGTTCGATGCGTAGCAGTAAATCACGAAGTCGCGCGGCCCAGTCTGTCCTTGGCCCCGGACCAGGTGTGGATCTTTTGGGGGATATTGCGTACGTTTTCGTATCGAACCAGGGGCAACCTCAAAATAAGCTAGACTCCGCATCGTTATCTTCCGCAGAGCGGCGTCATACAGTGTCGCCCGAAGAGCGGCTGGTAGCAAACCAAAGGTTCGCATATTTACTTCGTAAATAGGCAAGCCAATATGCAGCTGACGAAATAATTCAAGGGGGAACGAGGGCAGTTAGGGCGTGGCCACGGACAGTGACGTCAGCCTCCGGACGGCTCCGCCCTCTAGTATGGTCATTCCGTGGTTTTAGCATGCGTAACGGACTCGATAAGTGAGACGGACGCCTTGAGAAGAGGCGTCACGTGCACGTGGGAGCTCTTCTGGCAAGAATACAGGGCTCGCTTCCTGGAGGAGTTTGCTAGCGCGTTGACCCGAATCTTGGAAACCGGGGACCACAGGGATCAGTTTGCAGAATTCGTGCTGGATATCATCTCTGCTGGAAATGCAAACGAGAGTCTGGTAAGTAAAGAGTGACTTAACAGCGGGGTGACTTAAGATAGGCACCCGGGAGACGGGTGGGGTTAGTATGGTGGTTAGGGTGGGTTCGGGTGCGGAGCGGGTAATTATTTGGGTGAGGTTTTTTGATTTGATTGGTCGGGACTCGTGAATCTTAAGTCACTCACCCGTTAAGTCACCCCGGAGTTACCAGTATGCAAACGAGGGGACTGAGAAAGTGCACGTGACGAGACGATCAGCGGACCTACGGCCTTTGATCGTCAAAACCTTTCAACAAAGCTCGGTTTGGAGGCAACTAGGGCCAGAATGGACCTCCGTCCCCGCGGTCGACTCCAGTGAAAGAAAGCAGCGACTGATCGCGGACATGAAGGCTGTGGCCATCAAGAAGCAGCTGTGGAGCACTAAAAAGCTTTTCTACCCTTCTCAGAACAGCTTCGCAAACGGAAACGCTAAGAAGCTGCTAGATGCATCACGGAGGTTAGGAGAAATCATTGGGTGAGTGGATTAAGAAGCAAACAAGGTACTAAAAGTCGTTTGTTGAGACGTCCCTCAAGCGGGTGCCTTAAGTAGTGCAGGGACCGTCAAAATGGTATAGTAAGCTCACAACAAGGAAGGAGAATTTTGCGCCGTGCTATCGATCAGATGTTTCTAATTAGGTGTGCTCAAACGTTGTTAAGGACACACATATCTGATACGGACTTAGATAAAAAGCGGCCTTTTGAGTGTAGGCGCGCTGTTGAAAGCTTCGTGACCCACATTAGTCTATCAATCTGAATCTCCGAACGGGCCATTGTGATTGAACGTACTCTGGGGGTCTTTTTTCAACGAGTACGTTCAATTGTTTCTGGGTTCTTGCTTTGGAGGCAAGATCAGCCGAAGACACTTAAAATCGTGTCCGCGTCACGTCAACTGTCGACGAGAACGGGTTGGGGCTGTGCATCCGCAGATATTCGTGCGTCAGGAAGTCCGCTGGAGTCCAATGAAGTTTCGTGGAGGAAGAACTTCGAGTCACACGGGTCGGCCATGCAATTTTGAAGGGAGGTTCAAGCCGGAAGTAAGATCAGCCCCCCGTTCCGGATCCATTTGTGCTCTCGATATGAGTGTTGGCGCAGATTGAATATTAAAGCCCACTCCATGATCTGAAGTCGACTTCGGGAGGCTTGCACGTTGACAACTACAGAAGTCGTACTTGTCTACAGAAAAAACTCATAGACGTCCGCATCGGCCTTATGCTAAGCTTTCACAGAACTTGCCAAATGTATATACGTGATCTGGCTAACGTTTCATATCCGATAATACGTCGTGCATACATTACGTACGGCTCAGGATGGTCCGCGCCGCATCGCTGCAGCCTGTTTCAAAGTCTAGCTGATGAGCACCATGCTGGACGACGGGTAAACGAGCGCCGCTCGATCTTTCACCTCCAATTGTTCTTCGCAATCGGGTGCATAAGAGGCGTAATCAATGACACTTACTGAGAGAAGAAAGCATTCCTGCTTAGAAAGTTATCATACATTGACCGGAACCAGGAAAGCGTCGAGCAAGAGTGCCAGACGTTTTCAAGGTTTCCTTCCGGCTCCAGCGTATATCTCGCAGGCCGAACCTTTGAGGGTGGAGACCTGACGCAGAAGAAGACTTTGATAACCTACAGTTCATCGTACATAGTGGTATGCTTCATAGCGCACCTGGCGAGTAAGGTCGAGCGGCAACCCTTGTCGTTTAGTATAGCATTCTGCACTTTGCGACAGGCCATACTCTGCCCGCCAAAAAGTCAAGGGTGTTCGGTGGCGTCAACATCCAAGTCACTAAGCAACTCAAGCGCACCGGTTGATTTGATCAGTCGCATACACGCACTTTGAGAAAGGGCAAAAATTCTCTTCCTTTCCAACTCCTTTCTGTATCGTCGGCCCCGCTGAATTTCCTGAAAGGGTCTGAATCTTCCTTTCAACAGTGCCACTATTTTCCGATCAGAATCATCATGGGCGGCCAAATTTGAAGAATGTTCTAGGGACCCGCCATTGGAATTTTTGTGGGGATAGTTGAGGGGCCTCTATTCATGGCGGCATGGGCGGCTGCCAATCGCGCCCCACGTTGTGCGCGCGGCCGCGTATGATGTTGAAGCACGCTTTTTATGATCAGCTTTACAGACGTCACAGACTTTGCAAACGTCACAGACTTTAATCCACTTATTCTTGCCTTTGGTATTAAGCAAGTTGTGATGGAGGACTCTTCATTCCCGAGTCGGGCAATCCCTGCGCACGTAGTAACTTTTCCGGGGAACGCCAACATTATCCACATTCTTGTCGAACTACAGTCACTGACTTCCCCCCCCAACAATTTGGCGCCTAAAAGACACCACCCATGCCCGTACCAAAGTGTTGTAATGGTATCCGCCCAACAGTCTCCAAAGTGCCACCACAAGAACACCAAATTGGACCTCAAGCATTATTGACGACTAAAAGGCACGTCTCAATCGGGCGTCAATCAGTCCCTTAGGGCATCTTTGGTGCTTTTCAACCTCTTTTCAAGTGTCAAAGTGTTGTAATGTGTGTTGCCTATGTGGAGGAAACCCTTTTGGCGCCTTTCAGGCGTCAATCTGTTGGGGGGGTCATTTCGTGATAAGTTAAGGTCAGTTCACTTCCCAAGGCGCCAGCTTGAGGGACGCCTTGATGGGCTCTTTCTTCGCTTCCAGCGCCACCTGTGCCGCTTCTTTATCCGCTGCCGCAACCTTCTCTTTCACAGCTTTCAGACTTGCGCACAGTTTCTCAGCATTCCTACTTACATAGCCGTCATCATAAACCACCAACGACCAAGGGCTGTATCTGCGGATGCCCCAAAAGCCAAAGGTCTTCCCAAAAGCCTCCAAGTCTGTAAGCAATTGCTGCACTTTCGCTCGGAGATGCGCCGCCTCCGGGGACGTCCAATCTGGGCCCTTGCTCACCAATGCCCGTTCAAACTCCTTCAAAACCGGGCGCCAGAGCTCCGTCGACCCTCTCTTGATCCTCAGCGGCTTTGCGGTCTCTCCTTTAGTTTTCGCAGCGAAGGTGTCCAGAATAAAGCCCAAAAACTGGCGCTTTTTGTTTTTTGGTCCCACGGGTTCCGGCCCTGTTACCCACCAATCCGTAGTATCCGGCAACCGGAGTAGTTCCGCAGCAAAAGTCTTAGGAAAATCTGCACCATATTATGCCCAGCAGATTCTCAACCGGGCGGCATGCTTCTCTAGCATGACGCTCTGTCTCAAGTAGTCCGTCTCGCTCAGCGACTCAACCACCTCCTGTAAAACCCACGGAACAACCACGGAAGGAGGTGCAGGCTGGGTTGCACTAATCGCACTGCCTGTTTCCTTGGGGGTAAGGACAGAGCAACTCAAACCCATTGCTTACGGTTCAAATGTAGGGACATGAACTACAGTAAATGCTCTGTGCGCCTGGCTCTCTTTGGCGCTGTTCTGTTGAACAAACAGCATACGGGCGACCAGCGCGGCCGGCGTCGCATAAGTCGATGCTGAATTTATGAACACAAGGGTTTAGGTGCAAACTCTGAGTGGGCAGACGGCGGCCGCCGCGCGCCCACGTTGCGGCCCGGCTTCGCGCCCGCGCGGTCGTGGCCTAAACCCTCCACACCCGCGCAGTCAGAAGGCCGACGCGCCCTTGAACCTGGTACGTGCATGCTTAATGATGCTTGTTCACCAACTCTTTGGAACAGCACCGCTGATTTAAAATCAGTACAACAGTTGTAACAACTTCTCAGACGGTTGTCACGGAAAGCAGCATGGGACTGACCAGCTCCCTGCTGGCCAGGTCAGGCGGGAAGCATGCTTCCGGAGACGCTGTGGTTGAGTCTTCCAACCTGAACAAAGGCTCCGCTCGAGACTGCTCTACCAGAAAGAAAGCAGATGATTTGAATGAATATGGGGTGACTACAGGGAAGGGCGATGAGCCAATCCGGACAGCCCCTCCCTCGGTGGTCATTCCGTGGGTTCTGAGTGACGTGGTTGACTCGTTAAGCGAGACGGATGGTTTGAGGAGAGGCGTCACGTGGGAGCAGCATGCAGCCCGGTTGCGGGTCTGCTGGCAAGAGTACGGGGCCGAGTTTCCAAAGGAGTTTGCGGGGGCGCTAACCGGCTGCTTGGAAACAGGTGGCAATGGAGATCAGGTTGCAACTTTCCTGTTGGATATCTTTGCTGGGGAAGCAACCGGGGAGACTGAGAGAATGCACGTGACAAAAGGGACGAAGGAGCTGTGGCCCTTGGTTTTCAGGAAGTGTCGACAGAGCTTGCTTCGGAAGAGAGAGCCAGACTGGACCTCCATTCCCGCGATAGAGTCCCGTCAAAAGATCCGACAGCTGCTTTGGAAGTTGGAATCTGTGGGCACCAGCAAGCAGCTGTGGAGCAAAAGGGTCTTCTCCTTTGAAGAGCAAAAATTTGCAAACAAGAACGCCAAGAGACTGCTGAAAGCATTGAAGAAACTGGAAAGGGGCCTTGATCGAGTAGATAGGGAAGCAAACAAGGTGATTGGGGAAGCAAAGAGAGTTGCTATCGAGGCAACCCTTAAGCCGGCGCCTTGGGAAGTGCAGTGATTTGGGAAAAGGTAAAAGCTAAAAAAAGCAAGGAAAGCCGCTTATACTTACGTCAGACATACTAATGATCGGATGTCCTAGTTAGCTGTGCTCGAGCGTGATTCCAAACAAAGATGACAGATAGGATGCGGCCTCAGGCGTGCTCTTGAAAGGCGTATTTCTTGACAGGTTACTGGGTTTGTAAGGAGCTGTCGGCACCGACAAGTGATCGTGACTCAAGTGTGTTTTGTTCTTTTGATTCCTGTTCTTGAGGCCAATGTATCAACCAAAAAGCCCCAAAGTATTCGTGCCCAGTGTCGGAAAGAAACTTCGGCTGTGCTTGCATCTCCAGCGTGGCGTCTGCTCCGCGGGCGTGATATATTGAAAAGAGATCTGCCATTGCAACTCATGTTTCATTCCGATCTTTGACCTTTGATGATGAATCAACGGGGTGTACTTCCGATCTCTGAAATCTCTGGAACGGTCTTATACCAGGAGTAAGATCCTTTTTGTTCCCCCGTGATTTTGTATGTGCTTCAAGATCAGCTCCAGCCCATGAGTATTCGGCAGACCCTCTTTAGGAGACTCGGTTTGTTCATGAGACTCCGCATCGACCGAAAGCTTTGCGGACGTTGCCTAAGCATAGTTGTCTTCGTAAATGTTTAAGGTAGGGTCGTGCTTTCGCTAGTTGACAGGGTATTGACGATCGAATAACAAAGGAAAGCCCCTCTACACAATAATATATTGCTGATCAACAACCACGGTACCACGGACAGGTGGCAACGCATGCCGCGTAGAAGAGTTCAAACTCTCACCTCGTTCCGATCCTCTTTGCAATCTATGGGTAAGAGAATACAAGAGTAGTGTACTGCAGCTCCTAAAACGAAGAAAGCACGCTTGAATCGTCGTCGGAGGATGGTTCTAAAGCAGCAATGCATTGGATAAGAGTGCCGTACGCCTTGAAACCTGAATGGCAAATCGAATCTTCAGGTCTTTATCCTGGGTCCTTTGTTAATCTTAGAGGGGCACCGAACCGTACCAATTTTTGAGATTCCATGGAATAGTCGTCGTCGTTCAAACGTACCGGAATATGTCTAGTACAATCATGTTTGAGAGTCGTCTCGATCTCCGATACAGTCTCAATAAGACTAGTGACGTCTCTTTCATGTCTCTCTGGTGCCGAGCAAGGACGATCTCGAGCGCAATCTTTGTTAACCGGTGTTCACGGATGCCGTTGGCGCCTTAGTCCGAGCTAGCTCTCCCTCATTGCCTGATGAGAGTGGGTGACATGCCGTAAACTTATCATGTGGACTCCGATTCGATGCTTTGCTATAAGGACCATCTTTCCATCTTACTACGGCATCGTAACGCATGGGGTGCGCTCGAGACTTACAACATGCCTGCCAGAAAAACCAGTAATGATAGTTCATGTAGATACTTTGTCGCCGGGAACTCTGGAAATCGATGATACCAGTTTTCGCGGGTTGGGAACATCGTGTCTTCCTGCCTTGCAGCGCCCGGCCGTGAAGACGGCACAATTACAAACTCAGATGCATCGAGTGTTATATTTCTGGTCGGACCCAGCTTCCTGCCAGTGCATCTTCTGCATCAAGCACCTGCAAATATTAGGTACCCCAACGAACTTTCAGTTGGCGCCCGTTCATCGCATGGTGAGGTGCAGTGGAGCTAGGTGAAGTAGACGAATTGAGTCACCGTAGGACGGAGAAGCTTTGAAACCCATCAATTGGCGCGCGTACTGAATGTTGCTTGCGTCATCGACAGCATTTTTTACAGGATTTCTGAGATTTGAACTTGAACATTCGTGTGACCTAGCTGCTGACAGGCCGGAGCGGCCGCGTCCCGTGCGTCCGCCGCCCAAGGTAGGGTTTTGCCGGGGGTTTGGCGACCAGCCGCGCGCGTACATCGGAATCTTCTGACCTCAGCATCTGTGACGTCAGCTGTGCTAACGAATACGGATAGCAACGTGGCGTGCTTCAAACTTGCCTCTGACGTCAGGATTCTGGAAAGGTACGGGATTCTCCGCTCTGAAATTGAACCCCAGCTCGCCGGCGGCATAGGTGGCCTGCCTTCCTGCGTAGCTTCCTCCACCACTGCTTGGCAGGATCCAGGAGGATGTGCTCGATCTCAATTCTCCCTAGCTGCATCAGGAAATTTCATTCTTTCAAGACGGTGAAGCAACCTAGCAAGCCTTTTTGCGGTGGGTGAATCCGAGCTTTCTAAACATAATTCTCAAAGCGTGCCTGGTGAGCAAGATATTACGATAATTCTTTGCACGGCGGATAGGTAGTCAGGATCAGCGTTTCACTCAGGTCAGACTGCTACGTATCTGCATTGGACACATCTCACAGCCTCCTTCCTCTTCCCTCTACATCCTGCAACAAGTTATCAAAGGTCGGCAGCCTAAGGAATTTGAGTGCGAGTTCCTGCCAGAACAGCAGTTCCAGTTTGACCTGACAAATAACAAGGCTACCTCCGCAGTGCAGCAAAATGGCTGGCGAATCGAGCGACATTACGGTAAGCTGCGGCAGTCAAGGCATCTTAAACCTCCATTTGCTGTGCGGAACTTGATTGCAACAACGCTATCAGTGCCCAATTGGCCTGCACAGAACATGATTATCAAAACCAGCGCTCAGCTGATTCAAGAGCCATTGACAAGCTCAATGTGCAACATCGTCGGCAGGTGCCTCTATGCAATGAAAAGTAACAGGGAATCCTGATGTACAATGGGGTCAAACAATGATCCTCCAGACTGGTCAAGCGTTCTGACTCTAATATAGCAACTCAATAACGGGACTCACTCTGGGAATGCCAGGATAGCGATTGCTCACTTTATCACAAGCACTTCCTTCTTGATGTCTGGCGCCTGTGTGACCTGAAAAGATCATCGCTCAACTTTAGCTTGTGATGCCATCCTCTGGCGCTGAGCTTGTCATTGCTTGAGGAGTGAATGGTTCCCTTTCGTCCGATCATAGCGAATCCAGCAGAAACAGTTGCTTGAGCCATTTTCGAGGTCCAACTTCTGCGCCATGTGTAGAAGTTGCACAGTATCAAGCTTCTTAACAAGGAGGAAACATATTTCAGTGACATGAAAGGGGGACTTTATCACGGCTCGCCCACTTGGCCTGCATCCTCCCTGCCACTGCCAACTTCAGAGGCCTCCAATACACCCCACAGACTCAATGTTGTGCAATGTTTTCCCCTCCTATGGGGGCCTTGAGATCCGTTCTAGTTAGCCGTCTGCTCGCTAGCTGAACACTTGAATGATTGCAAGGTGGACACATGCTGCAAAAGTGAAGGCCTACGGTCGAAAGCACTCACTGGCAACCAACCCTGATGAGGGCCTGCTTACTTTGTCCTCATGTCCTCTGCACAAGAACCCCAGTGCCCTCCAGAGAAAGTTCAAAGGCTGAGTGAAGTTTGTCTTTTATCTGTGTTTCCAGCTTTACCACGCCGTACCGACCCGCTCGTGCAGGGTCCTCTTTCTCCTGGAAGAGCTCGGCCTTCCCTACAAGGTGACTCGCCACCTCCTGATTCAGCTCCTTGATCCCAAATGCAGATTCATAACGTGGCCAAGTTTTTTTTGTACGAAATGCCCTCTGCTTTAGCGCCCACATCTCAGGTGCAGCTTGATGACTAACCAGGCCTGTTTGCCTCTTGTCAACCCTGGTAGTTCGGGAATAGGGCCTCGAGAGAAGTTCTGCTGACTTGCAAAAAATCTTGTCCAGCTTGTCAAGAAGGAGTTCAAGCCCTTCGGTCTGAGAGATGACGTTGAGTACTGCGCATCAATTCACCCGCGGGGTTCCCTCCCCGGGTTCAAGGATGGCGAGACAGTCATCATCGAGTCAAGTAAGCCCCGCCACATTTTTGCGCTCGTTTGTAGCTTGCTATTGAGCGCTTTGTTTCAAAGTGACTTCAAAACGCCAAGTCGCAGCCTGAAGGCAGGCAGTCCTAAACCACCTCAACCAAGGAAGCTGCCCCCCCTACCCTCAAACGAATGGTCATCCTTCCCCCTTCATTTGATTGTTTGCAATGCTTGAAGGCTTGGATCAGCGATACGGCCTCGACGATAAGCTTTCCCCCGGCTGACCAACCAGTCGCTTATTTTTCTCTCCAGTTGCAATCCTCCAATACCTGATCGAGCAATACGATCCCGAGCATAAGATGTCCCCCCCGCTGAGCGATAAGCCGGCGCGTGCAGCCTACCTCAACTGGCTCACTTTCGCGGAGGCCTCATACGCCTCTTCCGTCGTCTTTCCGGTGATGCACATGTTTGTTCTGCCGGAAGAGGCACGGAATCCAACCGCGGCAGCGAGGTGAGGCCGGAATCGGAACGGGCGGAAGTGCCCACCTTTTGACCATGAGACGTTCGATTCGCTTTGGGATACGGTCATTGCAATTCGTACCGGGGCCATCTAGAAACCTGTGGCACGTGGGCTGGCCAGTAATTCTGCTGTGTTCGTCACAGCTTAGTGTGGAGGTTACCTTTTGTAGGCGCGAGTGATTGGGACACTTTCCTCTTCCGCTTCACAAAATCCATCCATTTTTGAAGGATTACTCGGGTCGCAACAAGTCTCGGTCTCCTTTTGAGTACTGTGTCCGTCGCCTGACGATTCCCCCCTCACTTGTCCTCTTTCCTCGTTTCCACTTCCAGTCCGGTCGCTGCAATGCTCGTCTTCATTCTCTTGCTGCTCTGGATTCGTTCATGATCTCAATTTGGCCTCCCTTTCGTCCCAGGATAGTGGTTCGCGGCTCCATGGTCCCGTTTCTCCTGTCCGTTCTGTTCTTCCGTGCCCCTCTGTATGTTCGGCTTCCGTTCTCCGGCCTTCGGGCCTTGTACTTAGTCTAGCTGTCGCCAGAGTATTCTCCTTGCTGCAACTTGGAGTCAGACTCCGTTCCTGCTTCCGGACTCGTTCTCAAGGCAAAGCACATCCCAGCTCGACCTCTTGCCTCTTGGTTCGCAGTTTCAAGAAGTCCGCAGAGGAGAATCTGAAGATCCTGGACAAGGCCCTCGAGGGAAAGCCCAAGGGCATTGTCAACAACGAATTTTCTGCGGCGGACATCGCCCTGTACCAGGTTAGTCTGTCCAAACTTCTCGTACTCGGTCGTTTCAGCGAGTTGGATATGCAGGAAAAGCCAGCCAAGGAGAGTGTGAAAGAAAGGCTGTTTAGGCGAGAGAGCTGCTTGAGCTTCATGCTGTTTGGGTCGCAAGTTCGGTTTGATTTGATTGATTGCGGAATGAATATGAAGAGCTGCCAAACAGGTCACCCAAAGACCGACTAAGACGTCCGAACCAGAGCGAAGCAGAGGTTATAGTTTGAAGTAAAGTAATGTAAGAGCAGGCAAAGAGCCTTCTGGTCCAAGCTCCTCGATATAGGCCTGGCGCTGGTCATCTCGTAACATGGACTGGCTTCACGGCGGCTGACTTCACTTCAATTTGTTTGCCAAGTATTGCCGATAGATCTTTCTCATTCATTGCTTCTGGTCGAGCTCTCCGATCATCTCTTGAAGCTCGTTTACGTGACACGCAATGCGCATCCCCGCTTAAGACAAAGTGCCCAAATAATACGAACGACACGTCATCGTCGCTTCTTACAAACTACTGCTGAACGGGGCAAGCAGTATATTGGGACAACAACCATCCTGTTCAAAGTTCCAGAGTGAAGCTTAGTGGCCTTGAGTTCCGAATTAACGAGACGGTGTTGAATCTGCTTTGTAAAATGCGGTTGGTTTGGAACCACCCTGGATAAATCAATCTCATCTCTGACTCATAGCAAGTGCTTGATCTAGAAATACCCTTGGGTTAACCATTATCAATTTGGGTTTGAGCGCAGACCACGTATCTGGCGGCGGAGTTCCTGAAGATGATTACGCCTGAGACGTACCCCAATGTCGCAGCCTGGTATGCCGAGACTGCGAAGAGGCCCGCGGCAGTCAAGGCATATGAAGCATAAGTTAGCGCGCTGAGCAGCAATCAGGCAGGTCGCGGTAAAACAAGTTCGAAGCAGAAACTTCGTGATTTAAGCAAGTTTTGACCCAGGTAGCATGCAGCAGATGCTGGCTCGGTTCCGTAACCCCTGTTGTGGCGGTGTACGCGTGCAATCAGACAATCCAACATCTGACTTGCTGTGAGCTAGACATGAATGATTGTCTGCCGGCGTGTGACATTTTCTTAATGGCAAAAGGTGATGGTTACTAGATTCAAGCCCACTGCAAACGAAATGTGCATCCGATCCTTTGCGATTCAATCAGTGGCCGGCCGACATTAATGAACTTATATTGAGCTGCAATTGACAGATTTTGTCCATATCATTTACCTATCATTGCCGACAGGATGCGTAACAATCTCAAACCGTAATTGTTGACGGTATGCACAGCACATATGCGGTGTCGAACGTGCTAGTATAGCTAGCTAGCTAGACTGCGGCGCATACTATGCTCGACCGTCATACTTGACACAACTAGTCCAACCCCTTGATCGATCCAGGATTCAGCTGAGATGCATCCATAATCATGGACCTAACGGTCCGGAATATTTGACGAACGCAGCCTGCACAATCGTCATGCTCGTGCGGGCCGCGCGCGCTCAGTTTAGTGCGCGGCCAAATTTAACCAGAGGGCAGCTACTAGTATAGATCCAGATCGCTAAGACGCAGACAGGTGCACGCGCACTATAATTGCGATTCAATTCTTCGTGCCTTCACTACTCAGTGCAAGCTAGCCGCGCTAGCTTTCATGACAACCAATTGTTGCATATGGGCGGCTTAAGGGCAATCTTGATACGGCCAAACTTAATGGTGACGACCCTCGCGATCATAATCCACTAAAACGTCTTCTCATTCCGTAATTAGTTTGGACTCACTATATAGTAGAATAACTCAGGCTAGCTGAGCTGCAGCTGCGTGTACCGCACTAGCGCAAGAAACCGTCAGTGTCACAGTCAAGCTTGCAAGCCTGGCTGCCCGCGGATTCCATGCAGGCTTTCCGGCTGGACGTCCCGATATCCTGACAGGCTCAGGGTCTTCACACATGTGACAGGGGTACTGGTATGCCCCGCGGGACAACCTCGACGTATTTGCAATTCATCTCGTACGCAGTCGCTAAGTTTTCAACATCAATGAACAAATTGCGCTGAACCGGACAAAGGGCAAAAGCTGTAATTTGCTAGCTGACAATAGTCACTCTCCTCTGGATGTCAAAGTCTGCCCTTGGAAATGAGTTCTGAATCCATAAGAAAGAGATTTTGTGTGCATGCCGAAATCAAAAATCGAAAAGCTGGTCATACAGAGACCGGCTGGCGACATAGTGAAGTGAGCCTGGCCGCATGTGAAAGACGTGTTACACCAATTTGCTACGCTTTACATCGTCTTAAAGGTTCGTGAATTGATTAGATGGCATCTCTCGACACCAAAAGTACTTGGCCGGTTTCACTGGACTAGTCATTGCCAGCCTCCAAAGCTGCAGCTCCTGAGATAATCTCAATAAGCTCGGTTGTGATGGCAGCCTGCCGAGATCTGCACAGGTTGAACCACAGTGTTAGCACGACAGGAGCAGCGAGTCGCTCGAAGAAAGAACCTCCTAAGAAGCTGGCACTTAGCATCACTTGGCGCCTTTAGAACCTCAATCGCTCTTCATAGTATCCTTAATAGGATCAGCGCTAGGATGCTACCAAACAATCAAGAAGCCGAAGTTCTGAATCGATGACGGCACGCTGGCTTTCCAGACAATCATTCCACCGGGCAAGCCCCAAGGCTCTCCAGCTCTCCAGACAGCACCAAACGGACAATGTTATGAATCTGCGATGACGCAGTAGCGATGACGCGGCAGCTTCCGAGACAATCACTCCAACCGGAAGCCTCAGCTCTTTAGCTCAGTACAGTCCAAAGGGGCCGGGCTTTGCAAGCTTTGCTTAGGATGTCACCTGTTGTAGTTGAGGGTGAGCTTCTCCAGGACCTCGCTGGCGTTCCTGGTGGACGAGTCCATGGCGGACATGCGTGCACCCTGCTCGCTCGTGGCGTTCTCTACCAGGCCGTTGTACAGCACCTGCGCGTGACACCGTCACCATCAGCAAGGAGAGAAAACTAGCCTTCTTGTCGAGAGTGTCAGGGTGCTGACCCTTGCACAAGGGATCCCTAAACAATCCATCTCCACGAGTCCATTTGTGTAGATCCGCTAGAAATACAGATCGTTACAAATCCGTCCTTGCTGCAAACGCGTTCAAACGGGATCTACAGTCTCGAGAAAAGCTTGCGAACTTGGAAGGAGCCAGCAATGGGGACCGCCTTCGTCAGTACCGAATCGCTACTCGATCCTATGTCAGGCTCTGAGCTGCAGCCCTTGCGAGATACAAAGCTCACTTCGGCTGGAGGAGAAGGTATGCTTATGCAACGACTCAACGAACTATCTGTCAGTGTCAGGGAAACGAGATAAGTCAAGCATCATCGTCGATTTCGTAGCAAGTAGAAGTTGGCCTTCTGCTGTTACCTCGTTCATTGCGAGACAAAAGCTGAGCTATCGTAAGCAATCTCTACACACCTTGGGGCGCCTGCTCACGCCCCTACAGAAAGCACAAATGACCGAGGAGGAAAGAGGATTCAAAACACGTGGAACCGTCTATGTCAAGAGGCCGCTACTGGGGACTCACCGAGGCAAGGTGGAACTCGCTCAGGTCTTGGAGCACCTCTGCTGCGCCATTCTCGGTCCCTTCAAATTCGTACTCCTCCAGGGAGCCGCCGCCCTCCAGCTGGTCTTGAAGGGTCTGCAACCAGTATGCAAAGTCGACTTAAGCTAGCATGTCTTCTCAACCCGCTCAACCGCTAAGAGTGTTGAGCAGGTTCTGGGAAACGGAACGAGGTTCTTCTGGTGGTCTTACAGGGTATGAGGAGGTCAGGTATACCAACGTCACCTTAGTGGGCGTTCTTACTTTGGCCGGTTGCTTTCAAGCACACGCAGTATGACTGGACAAATGTAAAGTAGAGCGTTCGCAGAAAATGGCCGCGGAACGAGCTTCCATTTGACGGGTGGCGACACAGAGGATCATAACGAGAGCTGAGAAGAAATGCACTGACTGAGCGCGACTGTAACTGGTTGTGAGTACACAGATCAGGAAACAACACGGACCCTTGAACAAGCAAGCCAGCAAGATACTGCGACAAGAGGAGAGGGTTGCAAGATGTTCCGAAAAAGATCCTCACGCACTCTCGGCAATATGCAAAGAAAGAGGCAACTCCCAGACAGGCAGTCTGCAGATCTGAGAAATGGCTGGGGGACAAGCCTCTTTGCTGTCACCAGCGTCCATCTTGTCAACGTTAACGGATATGACGCTTCAGATCCTTCCGTCAGATTCCATACGAGAGGTCCTGATCACGTGGCAAGTCCTAGGTGCTCACAGCTAAAGCCCAGATTGCACCCTCAGACTGGCTTCGTTAGCTGAAGATCGGACGGCTGTGACAGCGGTTCGGCCATCGCAGCGGACCTGCGGTCTGCCTGCAGAAGGGGGCTTACCGTTGCAGAGAGGACGGTCGCCACGGTGGGCTGGAAGGAGATGGTGGACGCGAATCTGTTGAAGATGACCCGATAGACGTCGTATTCCTTCTCCTTCATGATCTGGTCAATCATCTCACACACCTGCGGGCAGGAAATGCACGTAAAACTTAGGCTCGTCGAGTCCATGAAAACTCGGTGGAGTACCTGTGATCCTGAGCTTTCTGCGAAATCCAGCACAGAAGTGCTTGAACGCAAAGAAACGTTGCTGGAAAGTATGGCTGTGCTGCGATCAAGCGCGGTTGGAGGCCCGCTTCAACTGTTGAGAATGTACGACTAGACTCCGCGAATTCGGGAATGACACACAGGACTGGACTTGTTCAAGTACATGAAAGTTTTATTCCAAAAACAGGCGCTTCTGTACAATGCAACCCGCTCGTCAGGAGCCAAATATTGCAATGAGGATTGGCCATACGCCTTACCAGACTGAAGTTGATCCCGACTCTGCTGTAGTCGACGGCAGTGAGCACCAGCGACTTGGACAGGTCACGCTGGAGCTGCGCCTTGCCCTTCTCTCCCAGGACCGCAATGTCGACCAGGGGCTTGGGGTTCTCGGCAACCGCAGTGACATCTGCGGGGGACACAAAGAGGCCTAGGTGAGGAGCTTGGTGAGCAACTTGGTGAAGACAGTTGCAGTCGGGAGATACTTATAAAACCACGTTCTTTCAAAGTAGGAGGGCGGTGATTGAGGGCGTTCTATGCAAGAGAACAGCCAGCACGGGGAGCATTCAATCTTGAAAGAGGATCCGGTGAGGGAAGAGGAAGGTCGCAGAGTGCCCTTTATTCCCGCTTTGCTATCTAACTACAGCAACATTAATCATACACAAGGCTTTCATGCCAGATCAAAGCACAGCAGTGCCAGAACTGACACAAAAGAGCAACACTTCACAGCAGTGCCAGAACTGACACAAAAGAGCAACACTTCCCAGCCGCATGTTGCAGACCAAAAACTTAACGATACGATGCCTCACAGAGCAAACCTACCATGCTGGTCCAGCCACCTTTTGTAGGCCCGAGTGTACTTGACTGCCGTGGAGTTGATGCCACCGCACAGGCCTTTGTCGCTGGAGACTGTGATGGTCAGGCTCTTCTCCGCAACAGTGGCTGCAAAATAAATAGGGGAGCACCTCAGCAATCAAGTGACACAGAAAGAATCTCACCAGCATGTTTACGACATGCGCCACGGAAGAAACGCCATACGGAGCTCGCTGAGGCAATTGTGGGGTTTGTTGCTGCATGGATTGCCCTTAAAATGTCATCTCAAACACCACGTCTGTGCCGAGAAGGACATGTCACTTGCGATAGCACATTGGGGGATGAATATTGCAATTTGACCGGAAGCAGCGCAAAACTGCTATGAATAAGCTGAAACAATCTATGCAACTTCCAGTGTGCAATCAGGGCAGCAGGTCTGACCAGGGGCGTCTCCAAGGAGCGCAGTGAATGGCTGCCAGATGCTGCGGGTTTTCTCCAGCTGCTCCTGCGCTCTGCGGAGCTTGGATGCTGCCACCATCTTCATGGCCTTGGTGATCTTCTGAATGTTCTTCACAGACTTCATTCTGTTCTTGACTGCACGCGCACCAGAAATCAAGAATGAGGTGTCAAGCAAAACAGTTCGGTTCTTCGGAGGTTGCTGCTTTTGTGCAGATTGCCACTCTGAGAGCATGACTGCCAAAATCCTTGCGAACTTGACCGAATGATGTGAGCACATGCAACTTTCTAAGGGCACAGGGATTGGATTCAAGGCGGCAATCAATTCCTAATGGCCTATCAAGATCTTCCGCCCCAAGATTTTCCGCCGCGTACATTCAAGAGGTAAGGGCCACAGAGAGCGACAATAGTTTCTATAAGGAGGCCGTAAGCTTACCAGCAAGTTGCGAAGCATTTCTGGAACCAGCGGTGCCGAGTTCGCTGCATTGGAGCATGCAGAAAAATCTTAGTCACATGCACAGAGAGGGCCGTCGCTTTCAGATCCCCATTGCTTTTGGAGGCTCCGCCAGCACACAAATTCCCTTGCTGAAAGATTGGAGGGTTTCGGCGGCAAAGTTGGACAATGTAGTCGCAAATTCAACATCTTCTATAAGGGCATGGCTTTCAGGTACTGATTCAATATGCAAGAGGTCTCCAGATCAGAAAATGCATCAAGGATCGCAAAGATTGACGAAGGCGATAAATTCTGATGGACCGGGCAGGGCTCAATTGCAGATCAGCATGCACCATTACCAACTTTGCTTGCACAAATCCCTGTGGTGAGATTCGATTGGCTTGTCACCAACGGTCTCTGTAACAAACTTTTCTCCAAAGTCCCAGATTTTTGTCTTGTCTGATCTGCGGCTACACTATCAATGCTGAGGAGAAATGCCACTGCATACATTGCTGAGCGTCCTGAGCAGTTACTTGCTCAAGAGGACCTCGAATGGAGCAAAATAAACCCTATTTCCTCGTCGTGATCCACTTTGATCAAGAGCCTTCCAGGAAGAATAGCCGTATACATTCAAGTGGTGACTTCGAGTTGTCTCTCTGCGCCGGCTAGCGAGGATACAATCAGACAATCATCTTTGATGTTGGGATGTTTCTGGCAGGCAATGTCAATCTGCCCTAAGCTGCAAAACGTGCTCCTAACTGAAGCTGTTGCAGCTAGACTCGAATGTGCTGGCACGACGAACGACCGTATGCTCGCGGTGCAAACAGACAGGAATGCTCGGATACACCCCTGCCCTCGCTATCCCAAAGCTGATGTCATCCTTAGTCTTCTGCATCACCAGCATACTCTCGATCGCAGAGCAGCTCACCCGTTGATGAAGTTCTGCGCCCCAAAAGCTCCCCCAAACGTCTGTTCTGAAGCAGGCCCCAGGCCCTGGACCAGCCGCCCCAGCAGCCGGCGGGCCCCTCCCTGCATTGCCATGATGTCGGCCCCAGCAGACCCTCCCACTCAACGGATGAAGTCAGCACCGTGGGGCCGTCCTCCAAAGGAAACCTCTATGTGTGCGGACTGCACCTCTACCCGCGCAGGTTTCAAATACAAGAAGAAATCAGATTGAGCCGCCAAACGCGACGGTGGACACCACAAACGCCTACCGTGTACGCCTTCTCGACGCTCGTGGCGCCCTTCTCTTTCCTGACGCCCCACTTCCTTCTCTCATTCAGGAATCAGAACTGGCAGCGCAGGGTTTTAAAGGTTATAACAGGACAAATGTAGCGATTTTGACTAGCTTGGTCTGAAACGAGACCATTTCGACGACCAGTATGCTCATAGGCTCATCCCCTACTTGTCAAGGGGGATGAAATCGAAGAACTTCCTTTGTCGAAGCCGGCTCAAAGTTGAGTTGAACCCCAGGTTTTGGTTAACTCCCAGTTTGAACTTTGCCTGGACAAATCCAGTACACTGCACTGCATGAATGCGGCTCGAGTATAGGTAGTCAGTATCCTCGATACTAGAGGTCTGAGAGAGCTACACCCGGGTCAACAAG